TAATATATATATATATATATTATATATATATATATATATATATATATATATATATATATAGTGATGAGCGAGACAGAGAACAAGAGACAACACCCGATCCTGGGCCAGCTGTTCTTATTCTGCCTCTTCTTCCTCGCTCGCCTAGCATGCGCGTCTGTGCCAGAGTGCCAGTTTCGGTCTTCGTCGTCACACTCGGCCATGACTGCAAGCATTGTCGATGGGCCACACGACAATGTTCATGTGCGTGAGGCTAGCTGCAGCAGTTGACATTGCTTCAGGTGGGCGAGGTTGGCTGCATCGTCGTCCCCGACCACGCTGGAAGTTTGTCGAAATTGGCTCCGGCGGCCGACACTGGCTATGTCGCCCGGGTCGTTCGCCATGTCGTGGTGGGGACTGGGTCCTGGTTGGTCCCTTTGTTGATGATGACTCCGCGGGACTACATTGACTGTCGCGTGGCAGTCTACAGCCTCGGCCACGCTGCGACTTTTCGGAGAAAGTAGTTCGACTCCGGTTTTCCTTTGGTGGACCGAGCAGGCATTCTCGTGGTAGAAGTTTCCTGCGGTGGTGTGGTTTTCTGGAGATTGTTCTGGCGGGCGGCCCCGACTGGATCGACATGGTCGCAGGTTGATCCCAGAACGCTTTCCTTTGTCTCGCCACATTTTAGAAAACAGGGCAGGAAATGGTGGATCCGGCAACGAAACGAGTAGCATCTGATGCATCTCGCTCATCACAATATATATATATATATATATATATTATATATATATATATATATATTATATATATATATATATATATATATATATATATAGTGGGAGTAATAATTCAATGGGCCAGTTAGTCTTCGTGAAGGTATGGGATATGGCACAACGGGAGCGTTGTCAACAAGGATAAATATATTTATTTCCCAACAGTTTCGGGAGGGGACCTCCCTTCATCAGGGGATGAGTTAACGAGACCCTCGTTAATGAATTAAGGAAATACCCAATAAAGTGGCTGGGGGGATGGCTGTCGTGGTAGCTCAGTGGTAGAGCATCGAACGCGTCATTCGAAGGTCGCAGGTTCGGATCCTGCCCACGGCAAGTTATCTTTTCACCCACTTTTCTTCATATTTACATTACAATTTGGTCTAATATCTTCCCCTATATTTTCCTTGGCATTACTGTCTGTTAGATCTCATTAATATTGTGTAAAGCACAGAAAAACGAGCCCTTGAGTATACACTTCTTTCCTTAATTCATTAACGAGGGTCTCGTACTGGCAGACTTAGTGCCTTTAGGTTGTATACGAGGGACTGTTGGTCAGCTGCCAAGTCGTAATAAGTTCACGTGCTACGTGACGCCAAATAGGCTCAAAAGAGTGTGCTACACTCGCCGCCATGGCTACTGGTGGCGCTGACTGACACTCCCACGTCTAATTCACATATAAACCCAATAAAGTGGCTGGGGGGATGGCTGTCGTGGTAGCTCAGTGGTAGAGCATCGAACGCGTCATTCGAAGGTCGCAGGTTCGGATCCTGCCTACGGCAAGTTATCTTTTCACCCACTTTTCTTCATATTTACATTACAATTTGGTCTAATATCTTCCCCTATATTTTCCTTGGCATTACTGTCTGTTAGATCTCATTAATATTGTATAAAGCACAGAAAAACGAGCCCTTGAGTATACACTTCTTTCCTTAATTCATTAACGAGGGTCTCGTACTGGCAGACTTAGTGCCTTTAGGTTGTATACGAGGGACTGTTGGTCAGCTGCCAAGTCGTAATAAGTTCACGTGCTACGTGACGCCAAAAGGCTCAAAAAGAGTGTGCTACACTCGCCAGCCATGGCTACTGGTGGCGCTGACTGACACTCCCACGTCTAATTCACATATAAACCCAATAAAGTGGCTGGGGGGGTGGCTGTCGTGGTAGCTCAGTGGTAGAGCATCGAACGCGTTATTCGAAGGTCGCAGGTTCGGATCCTGCCCACGGCTAGCTATCTTTTCACCCACTTTTCTTCATATTTACATTACAATTTGGTCTAATATCTTCCCCTATATTTTCCTTGGCATTACTGTCTGTTAGATCTCATTAATATTGTGTAAAGCACAGAAAAACGAGCCCTTGAGTATACACTTCTTTCCTTAATTCATTAACGAGGGTCTCGTACTGGCAGACTTAGTGCCTTTAGGTTGTATACGAGGGACTGTTGGTCAGCTGCCAAGTCGTAATAAGTTCACGTGCTACGTGACGCCAAATAGGCTCAAAAAGAGTGTGCTACTACACTCGCCGCCATGGCTACTGGTGGCGCTGACTGACACTCCCACGTCTAATTCACATATAAACCCAATAAAGTGGCTGGGGGGATGGCTGTCGTGGTAGCTCAGTGGTAGAGCATCGAACGCGTCATTCGAAGGTCGCAGGTTCGGATCCTGCCCACGGCAAGTTATCTTTTCACCCACTTTTCTTCATATTTACATTACAATTTGGTCTAATATCTTCCCCTATATTTTCCTTGGCATTACTGTCTGTTAGATCTCATTAATATTGTGTAAAGCACAGAAAAACGAGCCCTTGAGTATACACTTCTTTCCTTATATATATCTATATATATATATATATATATATATATATATATATATATATATATATATATATATATATATATATATATATATATATATATATATATATATATATACTCTTTAGCAGGAAAGTGTTTTGTGCCGGGGTTCACCAAGTCTCCATGACGTACTTCCGTCACGGAAGTGACGTTGAGAATATACTAAGAGATTGCAAAGAAAAAACTTTAAGGCAAGTATTTTTCGTGCGGGATTGAATTAACAACCTCTCGCTTCACAGCGCGTGGCGCTAATCACTACGCCACGGAGCGTACACTGTTTAGAATGCTAACGGCAAGCCATTTATATACATAATGTACCGTTCAGCGGTCCTCAAAGCTTTGATACTTTAGCACGTTTTCGTTATTAGTGGCGAGATGGCGCGGCGGGCTCGCGTTGCCAATGCCTTTACTCACTTCACATGGTGTCACGCCTGGGGTGATTCGGCTCTTCAGGGTGTCACGCAGTATTACGACTCTTAGTGCCACTTCTCGGCCGAGATGATGCCTGCACAAGGTCTTTTTCCAAATCAGTTTAAGGCACTGACATGGCTCTGGAATAGAACACTCAACTTGAACCTCCTATTCCGATAGATACCCAGCCACATTAAACTAAGGGGTAATAAAGAGGCAGACAGCCTAGCCAAGAAAACGTCGAACGAAGGACGGGATTGTGGAATGCCTATATTTGTGGCGAAGATTCAAAGTTTTGTAACGCAAGGAGCTAACCACTGTTCTATGGAGAAGTGCTTTGATTGCCCTAAGTCAAAGAAATCAATAATTTTTGAAGTTGAGCCACACGGAAAATTTTCAATAGCGACAGATCTCCCAAGACACTTTGAGATGTTTATCTACGAACTCCGACTGGAAGTAGCAAACACAAACATTTGCTTGCACAAAATACATCGATCCAACTCACGGCAATGCCACTGTGGTCATGAAGATGAAAATGTTCACTATATTCTTTTGAAGCGTGTAAAGTACACAAATGAAAGATAAATATTAAGAAAGAAACTATAGCAAATTTGGAGAGGCAGCCCATTATATTGAAGAAATTACTTGGATCATGGGCTGAGGTGCATCTTCGGAAAAATTCGAATACGTTCCTGGCGGCCTTGTTAATGAAAGTGGGACTAGGTGAGAGCTTTTGATGTGCAGCTAGGGGTTGAGATATCTGAAATGATGTCTTAGTACTTATACTTCGAGTAGAAATAGACAGGTGCGCGTGTGAATGTTATATGACAGAGAGAACCGCTGCAAGCAAAATGTACACTTACATACTACTTCAACTTGTCTCAGTGTGATATTGTTTTTTTTTTTATTTTTGCAGAATGTTCATTTTGGGTACCATTCGTTATTATTATTTTTCTCTCTGCGAAGCTTATTGATGTAGAGTACCCGTGGTAATATGAACATCAACCTCTCCACAGCAAAACAGTAAGAACAGTCAAAAATTTCTAACCTGGTTTCAGACTTTGAGATAACTCTTGCGTTGAAAATTAGTGTAGAATATCTCACAACAGCTTGCTTATATTTGTAGCCTGTTTAAGGTACATAAATGTTCACAACCTAGTTAAGCCGTTAGCCATAGGACGCCAAGAGATAATGAAGCCAACGAAAATATAGTTTGGCGTTAGTCGCAATTTTTTACTTAAGTGCAGTACAATTTTAAGGTGAAGAAAAAAATGAAAGAGGGTGGGGGAGCAAGTCGCCTGCAGGAACCGAACCCATAACCTCTGCCACACGTGACGAGGAATGTGGCATATTCTCATTGCCAGATGACGTCACCTTAGCAGGCGATGTTTTCCCCAACCGGTAGGTGGCCGCTAAATTCTGGCATGCCACGGAAAAGCATGAAAGCTCTGAGTCGAGAGTCATTTCTCGGACGGAAAACATATGTGGCGTCTCAAGGCATAGGCAATGCCGGTAAGCTGCCTGTATCGTCAGATAGAGAGCCTCCAAGATCACAAGGCGTTTCGTGACTTTGCGGCTATAGGAAGTGAGCATGTAATTGTTAAACAGGTGGGTTAAACAGGTTGGTTAAACAGGTGGGAGCATGTAATTGTTAAACGGCGCAAAGGTACTGTACCTGACGAGAAGACAACCACGAAGGAGGCTTCGCGATTCCTACTGCAGGTTTCTTGGCTTTAATCTCCAGATTTTCTTATTTACAGCGTACGCTCACGGCGTGTTGCGTAACGCACGAACGGGCACACTTTGACCGACTATATACATAATTACGCGTGTTCGCCGATTTCTGGACCAGTGTCACCACAGCTTCGCGTTGGTGCAAGGTTCTGGTTTGCTCATGTAGAGTTTGCCTTGCACTTCGGACGAGCGTCCTCGCTGGAAACACTGTTGGTAACACACGTCCTTTTGTGTGCATCTTGTTGTCACAGTCATAACAACGACATGCTGCGCGCCAAACGGCTAACGTGTGATGCGGTGCCGTTGAGTTTGACCTCAACGGCGGGTGGCAACCAGTCCGCTTCGCTGAACATGCCAAAGATCGGGTCGCCGAGCACGAACGTCACGGCCACTGTGGTGAAGATTGTGATGGCTTTCACCAGAATCCCTGGGAGTACCTGCAAGAGTAGAGATACTCTACATTAAAGATTAGAGAAACCCACATATCACGGATCTTTCTACCTGCACACTGATATTGAAACGCCGGTCTCTTATTTCCCTGTGGTCTATTTTATTTTGATATCAATTACATGGACTCTCGGGACGGATTTTCGCCCTTAAAGTCATGTCTCGTATGTGTGTTCCGCTAATGCAGCATTCCCGTTTTATGAGGTCAACTCACCAGATCGGATACCTTCAGGCCTGCGTGCTCGTAAACAATGGCATTCGCCGGAGTCCCCACTGGCAGCATGAAGGCGAAATTGCTGGTGAGGGTCGCCGGTATCATTAAGAGTAGCGGATTTATGTGCAGGTCTTCAGCCTTGAAGAACAGTAATAGAAAGAAACATTGTTATCGTGAAGATTACATAAATCATAGAATATAATTCACTCTTGAATTTTCCCGCTGGTACCTCGAAAGAAAATGGTTACCGTGACCATAGCCTATAAAATGGTCTTTGTTCAGTGAAACAGGTTTTGTCACACTACAGAGTAAGGAATCGCACTTTCGCCGAAATCTACGTTTAGACTTTGTCTATAGTGGCGATCAGTGACGTTTCTCTATTCTCGAATCCAACATTCTGTGCACTTATATAGCCTATTTTCGCCCTACCACTCAAGACAGAGTTTCTCTTGGACTTAATCTTTCAAAAAAATGGAGTCGACAGCGATTCCCTAGCCAGTATTCGAGTAAAAACATTTACGGCCACCACCGTCGGACTTCGTAAGCTGCCTTTATGTCGGCACACAACAGGTCTATCACGACACGTGAAATATATTTTTAGCTCACACGCTTCTATTTCATAACAGCACTCAGCTTATTCTTGCTGATGTCTTAATCCGTGCATATGCAACTTCGTAAATTTAAAAATGCTATACAAGTTCCCCTCGGTCTGCGCTTAGGAAGCTCTACAGAACATCTCTTCTTATAGATCGTGAAGCCAGCAAACATTTTCGGTCTATGAAAAAATGCATTTGCTGCACTAGATGGTTTTCTTCACTCTGACAAGAACCCCGTTGTCTCCTGTTCCTTGCTGTTGGTATAATTTTCGAAAGATGGCCAGTGTTGCGTGACATGCGGCCCAATTGCAGCTTAAAAGACTCAAATACTCAGCGAAGAAACACAGAACAACACCGAGGCCTTGAACAATCTATAGCGATGCTGCGCGATAAAGCACGGAATTGGCGCTGTTCACACGTGCTCACCAAAGCTGCAAATACGGGCAGCAGAACCGTGACGGTGCCGGCGTTGCTGACGAGCTCGGACATGAAGGAGCACAAGATGCTGAGGCACATCATGAGAACGCCTGCAGGCAGATGGGACATGTGACCTAGTTGCTGGCCGAGCAGCAAGGAAAGACCGGAGACCTACGAAGAACAATGGAAAATATATAAGAACATATGTTGGTGGTCAATGTCACAAAACCACTGTATGACCATGAGGCACGTCGTAGTGGAGGGCTACGTAAACTTAAAAGGGTTTGGTGAAACAATAAATGATACATTAATTGCATACAAAACTTAGCAACGTATTCAGATTCGCAATTGAGTAAAGTGAGGGTAAATCATAAAAACTGCAGACAGGCCAACATTAAAACGCCAATGAAATACAAGAGTGAGTCTTAGTTGATTGAATGCAGAATCGGCAAGCCACTGGATGTCTTTTACAGAAAGGCGAGTGCAAACTGCTTGGCTGAAAGTTTCTTTCTGTGACATGTCTCGTACACTCGAAGAAAAGAGCGAGTACTTGGGGAGTATTTCTGCCACGCTGCAACAATCGTCGTCTACTTCGTGTACTTTCCTCGCGTTATCACCATGGTTACGGTCGTTCCCGGTCACGAAAGACGCGCGCGTTTTCAGTGTGACAAGCCATTCTTGACAAGAAAGTGGCCTGCGCCGGGTTTTGAAGAAAGGGAACGCGAGAAAGTTAGACAACGATTATTGTTGCGTGGCAGAACTATTCTTCAGCTACACCATTGTTTTTGGAGCGTAAGAGTAATGTCAATAATCTGTTATTGTAGATCGGCGGTGCAGTGGTGCAGAGAGACAATGGCGATTACTGAAATGCAGGTTTCAAAAAGGTCTCTCAAACTAATTTGTACAAAACGTGCGTTTTCTTAAGAGGGTTCCCGCGACAGTTTTTGAGCATGGTCAGAAAATGCTGTCCATCGGTACTCGAGGCTCTTGCAAGAATGTGAGCTAAACGTTTGAACGCAGCGCGTGGCGGGGAAATTACAATCAAAGTTGAAGGGCCCATGCAGTATATCTCCAATTAAACATAGCATCGCTTCATTGAAAAAGTCCATTGCCTCACGAATCGACCAGCGCAAGAATTATTGGAATCCGTCCAGTACGGGCGGAGTTACAAATTCGTCGCACGCTCCAACTGCTTTCTCTCTTCTCTCGTCTCGACGGTCGCGCAGAAAACAAAGCAGGGAGAGTTGACATGGGGGAAGGAAGTTACGTCTTCCCGTTTTATGACCTTGAGGGCATTTCCTTCTTCCTTTTTCCATCCAACGTGTGGCTTATTTCCAGTGTGATCGCGAGCGCGGGCACGTGGCGGCCGACGTAACTTCGCAGCTTACGACGCTCAAATCAGCTCGAATCAACTGTAAGTTCTGGGGACGCGTGTTTTAGGGGCGAAGCTCCTTAAAGCGGCACCCGTTCGTCCCCCGTCGTAGTACGTAACATGTCTTACGCTTGGACCTGCAAGCTGGTGCCGGTCGGAGACTTCTTCTGTGCGTTGTTGAACAATAAAAAATTCACAGCGTGCACGTTGACTGAAAGCAGAATTCTTTTGTCTTTCATTCCCAATTAGCAGCCATTAGCATGTACATTGAGAACTATCTGACGAGAAAGGGGTGCTACGTTATACTCGCTGTGCGTAACCTCCTTGGTTTTAGAAAGGTTTAGCGAGCGTTGAGCCGCAGTGCCATGAATACAGTGAACTAGTATATACCATGAACTCGAGGTGGTTAAACGTGGGAAGTAGACACGAAGCGCAAGCCATAAGAAAGTGTGCGTGCGCCACCTCTCGTTTAGTTCTTGGAATGTCCGCTGGGTAGCGGTGCTTCTATATGAGGAATATATGATGAAAAGATGCGAGATGGTGGTACTTGGAGTGTTGACTAGATGGACGAACGGACACACAGATACATGGACGGACGCACGGATGACTTCACGGACGGATGGGCGCATGGACGGACGCAGGGGTAGGTGCATGGACGAACGCAGGGACGGACGCATGGATGGACATGCGGACAGCACGTACAGGCGCACGCACGGACGGTCGCACAGACGGACGCATGGACGGATGGAAGCAAGAACGAATGGAAAGACAGATGCTTCGCCCCCCTCTCCATCATTCACCCCGCGGATATGCAGCTATTTTTTTAGCATCCTCGACTAACAATCGGCAGCGTTTTCTGACCACTTTAGAAAAAATGTTGCAAGGCCCCTTTAGATGTTAGGTAGATATCGCTTTCTCTTATCTTGACAAACGACGTCATGTACCCAACTCAGCCGCGTCACATACTGAAGGGACCCTGATGTCGGCTGTATTCAACATCGTAACCTGCATAGTTACCGCGGCCGCCGCAATGTGCCGCGAGATGTTCGGCGTGGCTAGAGTTACTGTATATGCTACCTTAGAGTAACTCCAGGCGCGGTGTCAACCGATGAGCCACGCACGACGCTATGCGTTGGCGGCACGGGCATTAAAAAGAAAACAGGAAGATAAAATGTTTCCTTTCATTGTGTTTATCTCTCCACTTCTCCTTTGCAGCTTTTGGCTTGTTCAGTGAGAAGAAAGAAGAGAAATTGTTTAGAGCGTGCGTCAGATCCGGTCATACTTAAGCATCCTAAATATTTTTTTTTTCTTTGTGGCAGCCGGTTCATGAGGAAGTGAGCGCCCATAGTTAGGTCATTTCGTGATTACTTAGGAAAATGTTGCCAGGTCCCATTGTGCACTTATGTTTGTTTTACCCTCATGGCTTCGGCGACGGCGAAGCCACTGCCGATGAGCAGGATGACGCTCCACTGTAGCTTTGCCTGCACCACTGGCCAAGTGACCAGTCCAGGACTCCTCGCTCCCTCCGTAGGTCGCGAGGGAATCATGAACAACAGGATTACCGGAATCATGACAGCAGTCGCGTCTTTTGGTTTCCTGCACATTTCACCGCATTGAGATTGATTTGAATTGTGAATTAAAAAAATATAAATGAGTCCACAAGAACGACGGTCGTCACTGTTATTTCTTTCCAGAATGCCCATGAAAAACCAATAGGCTGGAATTTGCAATAATATTTTTACAGAACAGAAAAAGCAGGAAAGGCATCGTGCTATATTTGGCATCGTGCTGGGTGGGGCAGGTAAATGCAAACTCGTACACGGAGCGCCTTCCAGTCATGGCCTGCCCACTAACGAGAGGGTGAAGAGTTAGACAAGACGGAATGGCTTATTGTGTTGGGTTATAGATTCGTTAGACTGTCATGTAGTGCACAATTTACATGGATCATTGGACTACGTGTGCAACGTGATCAAATAGTATTACTGTCTACAAATTAATGCTATATTTAACTTTTTGCCTGTGTTACGGAAAACTCAAGAACTTTGTGCGGGTACTACTTTGGAACTATTCCTCCTACTTTCACATGTGCTTTGGATATTCATTGTCTCTCATGCATCTAGTGCTCTCATTTCTTCTACTACAAAGCGTCTTGCTTTTCCAACTTCAGCCTCAGTTGGTATCAGTGTGCTACTCGCTGAACTCCGAGAGAGATGAGGGAGAGATAAAAGTTGAGGGAAAGCGGGAGGTCATCCAGTACTGCAAACTACGGTTTGCTACCCCACACGCCACAGGGAGGGTAATGAGAAATAGAAGCCAAGAGTGGACGAGCGCGTCACCGGTATGAGGAGATATTTTTTTTTTTAAATGCCACCGTGCATTTGTCTCGAGGTGCACAGAAACATAAATGTGAAAACTACTGCTGCGTACAATATGAGTTCTTGCAGAATTTACTATAGTAAGAAGAGAGCACCAGACTACACTTCGATACGTTCTGGTGCTTAAGCTTATTACTATAGCTGCGCAACAGTGTCGCAAGTTACCGGTAGTATTTTACTCACATGGATCCAAATAAAGTTGCCCACCCTCGAGCGAACATGGGGTCTCGGAACAGCCAGAGAAAAACCAGCAGTGTGAAGAGCAAAGAGACGGCCACCTCGTGGAATCTGTCACATGAAAAGATAAAATCAATTTTATTGGTGCTTTCAAAAGCGTCACTTTATCATCATCATCATCATCATCATCATCATCATCATCATCATCATCATCATGAGCCTGACTACGTCCACTGCAGGTCAAAGGCCTCTCCCATGTTTCACCAGTCAACTCGGTCCTGTGCTTGCTCCTGCCAATTTATACCCACAAACTTCTTAATCTCATCAGCCCACCTAACTTTCTGTCTCGCCCTAACCCGCCTGCTTTCTATAGGAATCCAGTTAGTTAGCCTTAATGACCAGCGGTTATCCTGTCTACGTGCTACATGCCCGGCCCATGCCCATTTCCTCTTCTTGATTTCAACTATGACATCCTTAACCCTGGTTTGTTCCCTAATCCACTCTGCTCTCTTCTTGTCTCTTAAGGGTATACACCTACCATTTTCATTTCCATTGCTCGCTGCGTCATCTTCAATTTAAGCTGAACCCCCTTTGTAAGTTACCAGGTTTCTGCTGCGTAGCTAAGTACCGGCAAGATGCAGCTGTTATGTACTTTCCTCTTGAGGGATAGTGGCAGTTAACCTGTCATAATTTGAGAGTGCTTGCCAAATGTGCTCCACACCATTCTTATTCTTTTAGTTACTTAAGTCTCGTGGTTCGGCTCCGTGGTTATTACCTGTCCTAAGTAGACATGGTCTTTTACAACTTCAAGTGTGCTATTGCCTATCTCGAAGCACTGTTCTCTTCCGAGGTTGCTGTACATTACTTTCGTTACTTAATAGATACACAAAAAGGAAGGTCTTCTTTCGCTAGAAAAACGGAGCTCTTGCTCAGTTGTAGAGAATGGAAACATTTGAAGTGCACCGAAAAGCCTTGCTTCACACAATCGTTGGCCTACCTGATCGGTCCGAGTGCCTCGTAGTTGCGACGAATGGCTTGCATGGCAGAGCTGCTGCTTTCTTTGTCAAGATTCGGTCTGCATCATCCCAAATGACATTCAAATACACTCAGATCAGATGAGAGGCGTCATGTGTAACATCTAAAGGAAATGCTCTGCATAAGAACAACCGAAAAGTCAACGTAGGAATCAGTCATTTTTCTAAAAATCTCACATAGCACTTCCCACCACTTAATGCACATAACAGACCTATAGTTTCAACTAATGTGTGTCAAGAAAATAAATTAAGGCATCGCTACTAGCTCTCATAAAGCCTTTATCTTAACAATAATTACGACGCTATGATAGAAAGGCCCGAACATGACAAACAGATCTATTGTGCTATGTCACAAATTTCATGGTGTACTTGAATGATTCTCTTTATTTATTATCAGTTTATCTTCGCTAAATATGCGTAGTGGCCCCATTTGTGTGTATTCAGTATAATAGTGTTTAGTTCTTTGCATTCGGCCTACAAGATCATGATTTCTTAACTCATTTTAGAAAATCTTATTTTTTTTTCGTGAGCATAATCAAACGTATCACTACAAAGAAATTGGTTCACTTACTGACGGTATGAAAAGATATGCAAGCAGGAACAGTGTAGCTGCGAGTCAAGACAAGTACGTTTAGACCTAAAGCACAAAGTCTAAGCAACGGGTGCCAACCGTATGCTGCAATGTTTGGTTGACCTCCCTGCCTTTCTCTCACTTCATTCTCTCTCTGTCTACCTCTCTCTCTCTCGGTACACCGGCTTGCCTACTCTTCTCGTTTGACGGGGTCTCGCAAACACGCGCATTTCCGTATCAAAAGTTGTCTATCATTGAGGTGTCTCAAGGCTGATGTACCACATAGATTGACGTTTGTACATTGTTACACATTCATACGACACTGTATACGACAAATTTTGTTGTAACAATTATTTACGGCATGACACACTATTGTCACACTCACTCACTCTCCTTTCATACTTTCACCTGTGATCAGTCCTATACTCACTAAACCAGCAACTGCCATTTTCCAAACTCACCTTCTACACCGAAAGAACACCGGAATTATGGTAAAGTAAATAATAATGGTGCTGATAATGGTGGCTGGCAAGGCGAAGAATAGCCACAGTGCGTAGTCCACAGGGGCCCGTTCTTCGTACAAGCTGCAGTAGGAGATTGAAAAGACTCTTCATTTGCGCCGACTCGTAGCTGATGGCATGCAATATTTTGCTACGAAAGTGGTTTCTTGCGCATAGCTTCAGAAAAAAAATTTAAAAAAATAAGAACATGAATGAATAAATACGGGATACACGCTCAAGTTCACCACGCTCGACCATGTACGTAGAAATTGTAAATACTTTATTATAATGCACGCAAAGTACAAGTAAAGTAGCGAAGGCACTTAAATAAACGTAACATTGGAGCACATACATCTTTAACGCTATGAGTTCCGCATGAGTGGCGAATAAAGCTTAAGAAAAATCTAGATATTGTTTACAAAAGTATTCGTGCCCACAGATAAGAGGATAAAACTTTATCAATCAGGGCCCTTAAATTGTTCATATGTTTTCAAGCGTGCAAATAGAGCGCTCATGCATGATAAGGAGTAGAGTTACTCTATAAGCTGTAGTATATACAGTAACAACCATATGCAGTCGATAAAACTCTTATAAGCAGCGGTGGTCGTGATGATGATGGGATCATATGAGGCGATAATTAGTAGAGTGGGGAAAATGTACTTATCCTTACAGGTCTGGGTAACCTGTGCTCTCATTCTGGTGAAGTGCGCGCACGCGAGGCAATGTATTAAGGATTGTCCTTCCCTGTATGACTGATTAAAATATATATAGGATTTCATTGTTGTATAATGTAAAATATGTAGCATCATTATATGTATGGGATTAAATGTCATGTGCCCCACTTGATAACACGAAAATCGGGAAGCCATGACGTGGGTCGCCCGCTTGGCAAATGTATACACTCACTCCTCGATGACGAACTTGAAGACGATGTTGGAGGCAGCACTAGTGATGGTTGTGATTGCGCCCGTGTTAGCTCCGTAGATGACGCTTAGGTAGAGCAGCACTCGAATACGCCGCTTCTGGGGCTCCACTTTGCTGCGCCTTTCCTTGGCGCGTGTAGTGATCGGCAACACGAGAACTGCTGACTTCTCGCTGGAATTAAGCATTAAGCCAGATTAAGCATTGAGCCAGATTATGAATCTACATACTATGTATGCGCGAGCGAACTGCGATTTTATATTTCAATGTTTTATTATTACATTGGGCGATGATTTGTTATTGGTACCTTCCATTAGGCAGCGTTATGGAGTTTTCAATCAGTTTGATGCATCTCACTTGTAATCACTCTGACAATCAATTGCAGTCATTATTGTTTGAAAGCTTATTCATACAGCTCGCACGTCTATTGTTTCTTATATCGAGTTTTTGTTTTCGTAAGTTGCCGCAAAATTTTTGTGGTGTCTTGATTTTTTTTACGGGAGAATAAATTGTCAGGTTTTTTTTATGTTTATCAATCAGTTTACGCATACCTTTGATAGCTTTGTGCATATATTTTGTATCTTTATTCTCATGGGTGTTTTTTTTTCTTTTCTTTTTCTTCTAGATTCACGTGGCATGGCACATGGTTGCAAAAAATATCTTGATGTTTTACATATGTAAATTTTGTTATGTGCTTCATGATACTCACTCCTGCTTACACCCTCATCAAGAGGACTATATGAATAAATAAATAAATAGATAAATAAATAAACAAACAAATAAATGAATAAATAAACGGCAGATAGGCAGCATTTTCTGACCATGCTCAAAAGGGGTTGAAGGGCCCCTTTAATAGCCATATCGGCGAAATAATGTTTTGCCACCCGATAACTTCATAAATACATTTACATTCAGGTTCCGTATGATACAGATGATACGTGGCAATCGCTTCTGAGCATGGCACTGCTGCGTGCCAGTGTGAACATTCGCAATGAGCTATAGGCCGTGACTATTATTACACCGTTTCGCAACAGCTAGCGAAGCAATTAGGAGGACGCTATATTACATCACCCACAAACTGCGAACATGCAGATGTGAAACACGATTATGAGGGCGATGCAATCCCGCAGTTAAATTCTCTTAGTTAAATAACTATAAACAAAACATCTGACGCACCTGCTTTGGTTGGAGAACATGATGGCGTTTTCGCTGGCGATGGTACTCTTGCCGTGTAGTTCAGTCAGACCTTCGGTCAGTGACAGGAAAATTTGCAACAAAAGTTGTGGACATGAAATTAATAAAAGTATTGTTGACCTCTTGTCGCACAGCATATTGGCTGCTTTTCCGTTGGTATCAAGAAATCATAACGTGATGTTTTAACCATTATTTTTAAAAGATACTGGTCCAGAGTGGATCATTGTATAATGGTCGGCTTGTTTGCATGCGCTAAATATCCCTCTGCCGTGCCCTTACCGCTTCTCGATTCATAAAGCCACAGTATATTAATTTTGACTAACCTGAACATAAATTTCATGTGAACCATTTTTGATTCTACCTTGACTAAAATCAGTCTCTCAAATCGGCAGTAGATTTTGCCTCCTGGTGCTCAGTACTTCAGTTAATGGAACTCTGCAAACTTCACTTTTAGATCGTTTTATTGAATGTATCTGGACCTTTAGTAGGGTTTTATTCGATAGATGTGAACTTTAGCAATTATTCAGTTTATTTAAAAAATTCTCAGTGTCATCACATCTTTCGTAAGAGACAAAGTCACTTTTCAATTTCCTCGCCCCTTCACGCAACCATTAAATAAATTTTATTATTTTCTCTATCGAGGCATTGCAAGATCAGGTGAAGTACAAACATCGTTCAATTCCCCTGATCCTGGAGGCAGTGTGAAACTATGTTATGTTCAGAAAGCATTCGGAGGAGCGACGGGCATGATCGATACATCGACTAAAACAAAACAAAAAAAATGACTTTCACCTTCCAGTCACCTTAGGCTAATGCGAAAAGGACCCCCGAGTTTTCCGAACATGAGTATCCTGGTTCAATTCGTAACTACAGTCACAGCTTTACGTTTAGGGTAAAACAGTTTTTTTTTAGCTAGTATGTTTAATATTCAACAAGTTATGCAAGCCATTTACGTGTCGAAACCAATGCGAGACCTTTCACTAAGACTGTCCCTGAAAGCACAAAGGACCCGCATGGAAGTCAAGCCCCAATACTCAGAAGAATATAGCTTTGCGTATCGAATGAATGACTCTGCGACATGTACCTTCTATTTCTTCGACGAGTGCGCCCTGTTTTGAAAGATTGGTTGAGCCCTCCTGCAGTAGCTCTTGCAGTAATGAGTCGACCACAGGCATCATCATTGCTGTGATGGCCACGTTGTTGATCCATATGGATAAGAACATGGAGATGAACATGAGCCCGAACACCAACCTGCGCGATTCGTAATCGAGTCGCATAAGGCGAACATGTACTATGAAACCTACATTTCCATTGCTTCTAGTTAGATTTCTAGCCAGATCTAGTTAGATTTCTAGCCAGACTAAAAGACGCCAAAAAGGGTAAAATGGTCCTCAGATATTCGTTACGTCAGCATTACTTTCACGTGATGCACCCCTATCAAAGAATGTCATGGTATATGTGACAACGTCAAATACTCTCGTATGTCCATATGAGAAATAATTAGCCGTCACAATAACAGCAACTTCACGGCTTACCCAACAAAAAAGGGACTATAGAGATAGTAATAATACCAAGTCTAACCAAAAAATAAAGCTTTTTTAATGCATAAATTTCTGGATATAGGAGAGTAAGGAAGTTTATGAAAAATCAAATGACTTGCTCACGTATTTATCCCAGTTCCGAGTAGACAAAGCGTCTTGAGGGCGATTCTTTCGTGCAAGTGCGAGTGCTCTATAGCTATGGCCATGATCAGAGTACCCACAAACATAATGTTCGTGTCCTGAAATGAAAAAAAAATAGAAAGCAGGCCACAACATCACGTCATTGTTTTTAAAAAAAGTTAACAGGTACAAACGAGTGTGAGGCTTAAAACAAATTTAATTATCTAGCACCAGTAATGAGCCACAGATATAGGATTTTCTTCGTCTTCAACAGTACAGAACTCGACAATAACGTTAAGACAGCCTAACGTTATAGTCCTTCGAAGATGATAACATAATGAAGTGTCAGAAGGGAAAACTTTGACTTTCATTCAAATGTGGCACATCATATCATATGTCTAGCGTTCTCAGTAGCGTACGTTCATGTACAGCTGGCAGGTTCTTTCCGTGGTGAGTACTCCGAGCGTCGGGAACAGCACGATGGGAATGAGAGAGGTCGCATCCCAGTGGGATCGGCTCCACGATCCAGTAGAGTCCCACAACGCCGACTACGTAGGCGCAGCGAGATTTCTAAAAAGCAAGAATAGGGGAAAAAAAGGCGATGTTGAACAACGGTGGAGATACACAAATTGAGCTTATTATCGGTTCAATCTTTTCTACAAACCTTTCTTCAGTCGCAGTACACTTGTTTCAGTAGTGAATGCGCAGTTGTTGCCTGGTTCGCCTATAGAATACCCTTCGATTGAGTGCGCTTAAAAATTAATGCAATGACAAAGCTGTATGAAGAAAGATTTGAACCAATGATCTTGAAGGTTGAGTATACTTGAATAAAGCTTTATTTTTTTTTTCAGAACACTGTTTGGCAGAGTGCAGTATGCTTGTCTTTTTTTTTTCTCAGGAATAACACCCCTGTTCGGACATGTATACAAAATATTACACAAGCGTGGGCACACGAGGAATCACATGCGTGGAAATGTTTTCGAAAAGGAGGCTCCTATCGGCAACATTCTTTATACCATGATTTTATTCTCGATTGCAATGCCTGAGTAGCGATCATTATCAACCCCTTTCTGAATTTCTGAACTTTCTGTATTCTTTCATCGATCATGTCACGACTTTAGGCTGAGGCAATCGGCGTGCACAAGTAAAACTAAAAATAAATAACAACAACCATGCGAAAGAGGCGAAAACTGAAGGAGATGTTACACTGTGCGAATTGGTCAAACATTCATGACAATCGGCAAATTTGACGTCATCGTTTCTCGCGCATGGGCGTATCAGACAATGTTTTGATGATTTTATGTTTTTACCAGTTTTGTTTTTCGCAATGAGCATGCGGATATGCTTCTGTATACGGCTTAAAACAGCTAAAATCTTTCTTCAAATAAACTCAGCATCAAGTAGCATCGCATGTGTCTTCTCTTTATTTGTATACCGTCTTTAGCGCTGTTATTCAAGTAACCGAAGGAGTCCAACATATATCTGTGACAATTTCTTTAGAACACTTTAGTTCTGTCGCCATTTCAAGCTATTTTAGCTTGAGTAGGCGGTACCGATTCGGTGGCTATATAAAGAAACCCGAAGAGTGCTGCTGCGTGCTCCACGTGTGCTGTTATCTCTTTAATGCTTTTTTTTTCTCTTCTCTGTCTCGCAAACACTAAAGCCCATAGAAAACAACTTTACTGCTCTTACACGTGTGCGTACGCTTGAGAACGGCACATTCTGCACGAACTCGCGATTGCGCCGTGGACCTTGCTGCTGGCAATGAACGATAACGAACGCTTTATTTTTGGAGAAATTTCGGCATTTCTTTGCCGAATTTGTAGAAAACCTGCGACTTTTTTATCACGTGAACTCATGGACGAGTCATAATTCGTCAGCGGAGGCGGAAATATCAGTCAGTTTCCGGATCACATTTTAAATACAGTCACAATTTCGCGACAGTAAAGTATTGGGCAGTTGATTACAGGAAGTACGGTTTACGGTTTGAAGTAAGTCTTGTAACTTATTGTTGTAAAGATTCGTGTGACTACTAAACAAACAAGAGGTGGACACTTAGTAATCACAATTGAATTTATTTACTTATTTATTTATTTATTTATTTATTTATTTATTTATTTATTTATTTTTGGTGTTTAGCGTCCCAAAACCACTATATGATTATGAGAGACGCCGTAGTGGAGGGCTCTGAAAATCTCGACCAACTGGGGTTCTTTAACGTTCGCATCACAATTTGGGTCATGGATAGATCGCAACACTCAAATTGATTTTGGTTAGCTCAGAAATATTTCAAAATGAAAAAGTATAGAGGGAGAGAGGTAGAGGGGGGGGGGGGAATCAACATTTGAGAAAGGACTGAGCATCAGGCAAGGGACGCAACTCGAACGTCAGGTTGGAGAATCGGGTTTCCTTATATATCTCTTATGTCAGATATCCAAATAAAGAAAAGAAGTTAACACAAGAGGACACACATGTAAGTAAACGCCATAAGAAAGACCGACTCACCACGTGATCCTCCATGTACAACAAGGGGAGCAACAAGAGCGGAATGGCGACCATCAGGATTCTCCTCCAAAGCCGAACCGCCGGCAGTAGACTCTTCCTCCAGTTCATCATCGTTGGTTGGTCCACTTTGGCGGGCTTTATTCGCACGTTGGGATCGACTGCCTCTCCAGCGATGCCTCGACTGTAGCCGTCCCACTTCGCACGAAAGAACCAAGTGTATACCGTCTAAACAGAACCTCCCGATAAATTCGCCCTGGGTTATGAAGCCGAAATACGCTGGTTCAGCGGTTGATAAACCGGGCCTTCGCGCCGTAAAAACTGCGAAGAAAGGTACGGTGACCGAGGGAGAGAGTGCGACGAATGCTGATACGAACCCGCGTAGGAAGATAAACCTCGTGGCCAATACCAGCACGTGTAGACCCTCACTCGCTCTCTCTTTTCACGTGTGCTGTTCTTTAACGATGTTATCGCGTGAAACAAACTGGCTGCGAGAAGGCAACACATCTTACGATGCATAGAACGCGCTCGGATGAGAGCTCGACGCAGCTACACAGTTTCAGAAAATTCGATAACGGTTCATCGCATGATCGATCATTCTGCGAATTGTCGGACTACTGTGCACTTTATTTAAGAAAAATCCTAGTTTCACCGTTGTCATGTCCCGGACAGCCTATGCCGTATGGTATGGGGATACAGACGAAACCCCGGCACCGCTACTCTGACTCAAGAGCAGCGGGAGGCCAAGTTGCCAGGCCAAGAGTCGGTGAAGCCTGATTCAACGGGCGCGGCAGAAGGCGAACGCCGGCGACTATACCTTGAATAAGAAGGCCGCCCACCTAGGATGCACGGTGCGCCTGCTCGCAATAAAAGTTCATTCTATCTCTCCCACCGCGAGGGCGAAGCAATGATTGTGATAGCAGCCGATCGGAAGGCTAGCAGCTCTCTTTGATTGGATCTTGCGTAACACTACAAAACACTGGTTTAAGCGAATACGGTCATAGCGGCAGTCGTAATGTCCGAGTATCGTCTGCTTTGTCTTCGTGTTATTATTATTATTATTATTATTAGTAGTAGTAGTAGTAGTAGTAGTAGTAGTAGTAGTAGTAGTAGTAGTAGTAGTAGCATGTAAACACAAGCATACAAAGGGCACAGAGGACGCATGGGGGTTGACAACTGGCACTTAGAGGTGAACAACAGCTGCCTACCCTTCAGCAGTTCCCGTCGATGACCGCGTTGTGCAGCGGCCCCCAAAAATTAGGTTAGAAGCAACCAGGGCAGTCAGTTTGTAGCAACGCCAAATACCACATTGAACGCTGGTGGCATCATGTTTCTCAAAACATCCCCTTAATCAAGGCAAGTCCGCTAGTCGAAATGGGCTACAGCGACAAACAGGTGTTCAAAGGACTTTCTTATAGCTTAAAATTTCATCTTTACCCGAACATTTACCTCATTTATATTCCCCTATATGAATTATGAATAAACGAAAATAAAGTGATGCAGCTGCGAGGCCAATAGTTCGAGCTCCAGAGAAGTCCATAGAAGGCAAACAGTTAATAATCCCAACCAAGTTCAATAGTACTCGCTTGTATTTTCGTTACATATTTAAACCACCATTTGATTCATCGATATCTTTGTAAATAATTAATCGACGAATTTTACTGTAATTGAATGTCGTGCCTAATGAAGCATATAATTGCTAATACATTAGTTGTTTAACTGGGATTAAGGTGTATCCAGCCAATACAGAAACGCGCTTTGCAGGACCCAGTTTACTCACGGCGCCACTTATTGAACAACCTGTGCACCCTGAAGAGTACGATCACAGTAGCTCAGATTGCACGACACCGGGAGACTCGGCTCTTTCCCCTCTGGGTGTAACGTTGCTTCTGAGAGGACCGCAGATGCGGGCTGGTGGATGTACGCCGTAACAACGCTCGATAAATGTCGGCACACGGGGAGGATGCGATGTGCGCGAAATAAGACACGTGACCACTACAGCAGCGAACATCGTGCGACGCCTTTTTAAGCACAAAAGTTGACGTGTTTGCGGGACGCCCCAGATTGCGCCACGCTTCGACGGACACAGGTGTTTTGATATGATGATCTCCTTTCGGACAAACAACAAAACAGAGGCGCCAATTTGGGTGAGCACGTATTCTTTGTACTTCACGTAAATGTGTACTACGTGCGGAAATTGAACGATAGGAAAGTTTTACGAGTCACGAAGGTGCGCAGAATCGCTGAGTCACGGCACGGGCATGTTTTTGGAGAGCATACGTGAACCCGTAGGCGAGTTTATTTACTTACGAAAAAACAAAACAACAAAAACAGAAGGACTCACAAGGTATCACGTGCATTCGTTTAAGATGGCTCAAATGAGAAAGCCGTCTTCTTGTTCTTTGTCGATTGTAGTTATCCTCCCTCCTCCCCCCCCCCCCCCCCACCCACCCAGAAAGCTTTCTGTTCCACGCATTTTGCACTGCGTCCTCGAACAAAGGCATCGCAGGCTTTCCGCACGTCACCTTGCATCACCTCGGTGATCGGACCACCGAACGACAATGACATGTCAATACGCCACCAGGGTGCGTCACATTTTAATGCGATCTGTGACGTCACGACGTTGTCATAAGGTGACACCATTCCGTGAAGTTTTTTTTTTTTTTTTTTTTGCATCACTCGTGTAGACCCCGATGCTCAGTTTGCGCGATTGATGACTCGGCATCTAAGGCTTTCGCATTAAGAATAATCCCGAACAGAAAGATGGCGGAAGGGACTAAGGCGATTCTACAGCACATGTTGTGCGTTCACCCTGCGTCACACACCTAAGCTCATAGCAAAAAAAAAAAGATGACACCACAAAGTTGGTGCAATCAGATAACACTGTAACAATCCCACGCTCATTCACTGCGCGACAATCGAGCAATAGTGCAATCATAGTGGTACAATTAAGTGTCATTATCATGTGAACGTGTATCCCTTTGGCCTAGTGTTGATGGAGGCAAGGGTGCGAGACCCATGCAGTTAGATTTAGGTGCGCGTTAAAGAACCCAGGT